GGGTTTAGGGTTCAGGGTTTACGGGGCTGTTGGAGGCCAGGGTGCAAGGGTTTGGGGGTTTAGTAAACCCTAATCCCTAGAAAACTAAACCCTAAACCGTGAACCCTCATCCCTAATTGCTAAACCCTAATTGCTAAACCTATACATGGTATACACATATACACACATGGTAGCATGATGAGGATACCGATGGTGGCCATCATCATAATTATGATCACGATGGCCACGATCGTGATGATGATGATGGTGGTGACGATGAACATGATCAATATCATCATCATGCTCATGACGATGACACTATATAACGGTAGCATTAGTGATAGCGGTGATGACAGCGATGATGACAGCGACGATTATGGTGGTGGTGGTTCCCCTCGTGGTGATGCAGCTCACCTGGGAGCGATCACTCTCTGCTAGCAAACCACCAAAAGCTCCTTTCCACTTCACCCCTGCCTCCTGGGGTGCCAGAGCCACTGTACCCTCTTGCAAACATCCGCCCAGGTCACGCCGCCCATGCTCATCTGACTGCTTTGCCTGAAGTGCGACAGCGTTTCGGAGGTTCTGCTTCCTAAAACCCTGCACAAATCAGTTGCAGCTTTGCGGCTGCTTCGTGACCTCATGGGCCACGGAGAGGATATCCTCGGCCTCAAACTTCACAGAAGCAAAAAAAGAACTGTGGGAAGACACAGGGATGTCTTATGCCTCAAGAAGGGAGACCCTCATGCGGAAATATGGTGGTTCGGCTTGGGATCTAGGGCTTAGGATTGAGGCTTCCGGGCTTTTGGATGTAAGGTCTCGGGTTTTGACGCCTTACAAGAATCCTAAACCCCAAACCCTCAGGTTTAGGGTTTAGGGGTCTTGGGATCTTGCACCCTAAACCCTACAGATCCTTTCAACAAAAACCAAACCCTGCACGATCCTTCAAGCAGGGCTGGCTAAAGCCTAAACCCTAAACCCTAAACCCTAAACCCTAAACCCTAAACCCCCAACAGTCGCTCTGGGGCTCCGGCGAAATCGGCATCGAGGTCGGTGTCGGCATCGGCCTCTGACCTCATTCCCAGCAGCTCCTTCATGATGCCTCGGAATCGGGCTCAGAGCTCCCAAGCCCAAGGCTCCTCGGGCTCTTAAGGGTTAAGGGTTTAGGGTTTAGGGTTCAGGGTTTGGAGTTTGGGGTTTAGGGTTTAGAGGACCTTGTAAGCTTTTGGCTGCTGCTGCTACTGCTACTACTTAGCGCTTCTTCTTCTTGGCTGACGAAGATTTAACTTCATCGCGTCCAGACTGCCAGGATCTTCCGGAACGAAAACCCTACTGTCCACAGTGCTTACTTGGCATGTGATGGCTTGGTGCTTGTCCGGTAGCTGGCTTAGTGCTCGAGGTTCACCCGTAGAGCTCAGATGAGAGTCGTGAAAACTAAAGTCCCCTAAACCCTAAACCCGAATTCCTAAACCCTGAACCGTAAACCCTAAATTCCCAAACCCAAAATCCCTGAACCCTAAATTCCTGAATCCTTAAAATCCTAAATCCCGATATTCCTAAAGAACCCTAACTCCGTTGATCCCTAAAACCGAAATCCCTAAACTCCCCAAGCCCGGCACCTGCCAGTCGATGGGGGCTCGGCGAGCTGGGCGTTGCCAGGCGCCTCAGTAAACTCTTCACCCGCTGTTTTCACTTCATGACTAACCCTAAACCCTAAACCCTAAACCCGACTATAAGGGTTACTATACCGGTTCTTTAAGGGTCGCTGCAAGGGTTCTAAAAACATCTCTACTGCTGGCTCTAGCATAGTGGCATAGAAGATCAGGAAAGAGTTCCCTTAAAGGGTTTGGGGTTCTGGCTTTAGGGCTGACATGTGGGGTTTACGGTTTGGGTTTAGGACAACAGGGTTCCTTGAAAGGGTTCTTGAAAGTGTTCTATAATACAGGGGGCCGTAGTAATGAGAAGAGGGTCCCTGCAAAGGGTTCTACAAGGTTTAGTTTGGGTTTAGGCTTTAGGGTTTAGGGTTTAGGGTTTAGGGTTCAGGGTTGGGGCTTGAGGGTTTTAGGATTTCGGGTGTAACATAGGGGCCTTAAAATATGAGGGACGAGTTCCTCTCAAGAGCTTTCTTCTAGGAGTCTTTATGTGGGCTAATATTCGGGCTGATGACAGAGGGGGCTGAATAGATAGAAGGGGGTTTAGGGATCAGCTATATACTTATATTCAAGCCCCCATATTACACAAAAATACGGGTGCATTATTCCGATTCACATGGCTAGACAACGATATGTTTTGTGGACCCTGTTGGCTGCCATTGCTGCCGTCATTACTCCTGGCAGAACCCTAAACCGCACCGCAAACCCTAAACCCTACACCCCAAACCCTAGATCCTGAACAGCAAGACTCGCAGACCCAAGCACCCCGAAGCTTCGCGAACCCCAAAACCTTAGATTCCGAAGTCCCAAGCTCTCAGTCCATCAAACTTAGGGTTTAGGGTGAAATTTAGGGTTTGGGGTTTAAGGTTTAGGGTTAAGTTTAGGGTTTAGGTTTACGGTTAAGTTTAGGGTGTGGGGTTTAGGGTTCTGAACCCTTGCCCTTTTGCATAAAACACTCCACATGACCCGCATAACCCGCGCATCGTTCTGTACAACTCTGCAGAAACCTGTAATATCCTACAAGGCACAGCACTGCAGCCACTAGAAACCACAAACCCTAAACCCCCAAGCCGTTATGAACGACACTGAGGAACTAGAAAAAAGGCTCTCGACTCCGACTAGACGCCCTTTAAAAACCCTATAACACCCTGTAGCAAAACCTTCTGGGGCCAAGGAAGCCCTGGACCGCAAAACGCCATAAAAACCAACACAAGCCCCCATAGAATGTAAACATGTCACAGGCCTCCTAGAAAGAAATATCCTAGAAACAATCCTACGCAATCTGTCTCCATACAGCTTCAAACAAAATGTAGCATAGCGGCCTGGATGATAAGGTTAGAAAAGGGCTTTGGGGCATTTTTGTTATCGCGAGGATAATCAGGGGCGCTGAGGAATAATGTTGCTACCTTAACCGAAAGCATCACAGCTTGAGGGTTTTAGGGTTTGTTTTCCAGCAATGCAGAACCCTAAAGCCCTGTAGTTCGTTTTCAAACACTCGTGGAACCCTGAAACCCTACATCACGTTTTTCTAACGCTTGTAGTATAACATGCTTCAACACTTGTAGAACCCTAAAACCCTATGATGTTTTTTAAAACACTTGTGGAACCCCCAAACCCTATAATACGTCTTAAAGCTTGTAGAACCCCAAAACCCTATAATACGTGTCAAAACTTGTAGGACCTTAAAGCCCTATAATACGTTTTGAAGCTTGTAGAACCTGTAACCCTAAACCCTAAACCCTGAACCCTAAACCCTAAACCCTAAACCCTAAACCCTAAACCGTTTTTAAAACCCTGCATTCGCCTTAGATCTGGTAGAACCTTAACTTAAAAACTTAAAACCCTACAATTCGCCTCCTAAACCCTAAACCCTAAACCCTAAACCCTAAACCCTTTTTAACACCCTACAAGCCCTGTAAAACCTGGTAGAACTGAGCCCGCCGGCACCGTGGAGCGCCTCATGGGCTGCTCAGACTGGGAGCGATCCCTTCGGTCCGCCTCGTGCCTGGGCAGCTACAGGAACCATTAAAGGAAGTTTAGGGTTTAGGGTTTAGGGTTTAGGGTTTAGGGTTTAGGGTTTAGGGTTTAGGGTTTAGGGTTTAGGGTTTAGGGTTGGGGTTTGAGGCTTAAAGGAAGTTATAGAGGAACCCTTAAGGGGCGGGGGGGTTCAGGGTTTAGGGTTTAGGGTTTAAGATTTAGGGCTGAGCATTTATCGTTTAGGGTTTGGTGTTTTCCGACTTCTGCCACGTGCTTCTGGTGCTTTTATGGCGAAGCCTCAGGACTAGTATGACACGTTGTCCAAGCTTCTATATTGAATCCACAAACACTAAGCCCTAAGCCCTTACTAAACCCCAAACCCGAACCGCAAAGGCCCCCTTCCCCTTGCCTGCTCATGGCTTGTCCGTCCGTCTTTGCTCGGTTGCCCTCCCGGGCACCCAACCTGCAGGGCTTGGGGGGTTTATGGTTTGGTTTAAGGTCTAGGGTGTAGAGGTTCATGGTTTAAGGTTTAAGGTGTAGGGTTTTGGAGTTCAGGGTTTAATGAGGTTTAAGGCTTCCATCCAGGGCTAAAGCTCAGGGGGTTGAGTGCTTTGGGCTTTGGGGTTTAGCATGCAGGGTCGACGGCTTCCTACTTTTCGGCTTTACGTGGCTGCAGGCAAACCCTAAACCCTAAACCCTAAACCCTAAACCCTAAACCGCCGCTGACCATTTACATGGGCGCTCGAGGCTCCGACCGAAGCCCCCGGCCGGGCGTCTCGTCAGAACGGTGCGGGAGGGGGAAGCCTCCCGGTTGATGAGGACTGTAGTGACGCCGCCCCGCTAATGGCCACAAGATCGACCCCAAACCCACAAGCATTGCTTCCCTCGCTGCACCGATTTTGCCTTTTTGGGGGTCTGGTGAAATTGCAAGGACAGGGCCAATTTCCCGAAAATGACCGAAAATGGCCTACCCACCCTTTTGGGGTTCTGGCGGTATCCTCACAAGGGGTCTGGGGCCCCAGGCTGGCAGATCCCAAGCTTTTGCCAAAGCTTCTGCGAGCCAGGGTCGGTGTGCAAACGTCGAGCCACCCCCTCCGCGAGCACCCGCAACCCGAAGCCAGTCCATCTCAGCTGTGGCTTGGTATGGAACGTGCATAAAATCAGAGCTGCGAAAGGAAGCAGAGAACAAGAAAGCCCCGCTTGAGGAGGGTGTGGGGGGTGAACCCTAATTCAACCCTAATTGAGAATAGTTGGGGTGGCTGGGCTGGGACTACAGCGCGCGATTGAAGTAAACGACGCACCCACCGCGCGCGCACTGTATACACACCCTAAACCCTTAACCCCAAACCCCAACCCCCAAACCTCTTGGGTTCTATGGCTCAGGGCTCAGGGCCTCTCGCGTATGGAACTTGCAGACACGTAAGGGTAGCCTCTTTGATAGAGTCGTGATACCTTGAAAAGGATCCCACTATTCAGGACTCCTACTGGATCTGACGTTTAGGGCTTCTCGTTCCGGAAATGGAATTAGTGATTGAGGGCCTTACGGATTCAGGGTTAAGGCTTCAGAAATTCAGACTCAAGGCGTTTACGGTTTAAGGCTCATGGGATTTTGGGATTTTGGGTAGAAGTTCATCTAGGCTTCGAGAATCAAAACATCCTTACCACTGTAGGAGTTTGAGTTTAGACTTTAGATTATAGAGCACAGTTTGCGGATTTATAAGCAGGAGTTGCTTGATTGAATTCTAAGGCGTGTAACTTGTAGTTTATTATTATTAGTAGCCAAGACTCCATAACTAAGCCCTGAACCCTAAATCCGACAACCGCTAAACCCACAACCCACAACACACAAAGCCTCTTCAACCCGAAACCCTGTAACCTTCTTCATGCTTGAAGCCTTATAGTAGCCCTTGTAGAACCCTAACCCTCAAAGAACCCTTACCGTAAGCCCTATGGAACCGTCATAATCCCTAAACTCTAAACCCTACCTAAACCGTAAACCCTATATGAATCCTAAACCCTAAACCCTAAGCCCTATAACCCCTAAACCCTAAACCCGAATAGCAAACCCTAAACTGAGCCCTGGCCCCACCCAGAGACTCCAATATCCCTTAATTAAGGAATAGACCTTAAATTAGACTAGGGATCCCTAATATAATTTAAGGTATATTCCTTAATTAAGGGATATACTTTAAATTAGACTAGGGATCCCTAATATAATTTAAGGTAGATTCCTTAATT